TGAAACTGATAACCATAACTGATGAACTATATAAACGGATCATGTCCTCCCTGCACAGTCACGCGTCGCTGCCTTCCTGCTCTGGGAACATTGAAAGGCGGTGTGGTGGTGGTGGGCAACGAGACCACCATTGATGCTGGACAGGGATTCAATGTCAATGCCACAGATGTGCTGGAGGCATCCAAGTGAGTCCACTTCTATTGCAACACATACATACAAAGTGTATAAATACTGTAAGAACAAAGAGCATCCGTCTCTGTGTTAAGCACAGCAAAAGTTAGAAACAGAGTCTGAAATGATCATACAATTCTTGTGATATATGTGAGATTAGTTTGATAAATCAGCGGTTGTAAAATATACAGTGTTCAGTAACTTCTTGCTGAAAATAGTGCTGAAACAACAAATCATTTAATGTATCTTTGAAAGTGGCAATGAATACCATTGAATTGTCAATCTAGCACTGTAAATGTAACCCCTTTGGGTTATGCTTTTCTCTTATTGGGCCCATATATAAAACACTCTGTTAGATATTTGCTGCAGCATATGCCTGCTTTGGTTCTGCTCAAGGCTTCTGGAGGCTGTACTTCTCTTTGCATGCTATTACCGTAGATGATGCAGCAAACTTACTCAGTTCTGTCTGCTTAGAGACTCCTAACATGGCAGATGCTGTCCACTGTGCTATGTTTGGAAAGTGATGTTCTTTTTGTTTTTGTTACAGGAAATCAAATGTGTTTCTTGAAGCTCGCGAGGTGGCCATGAGAATCTTTGAGGATTACACTCAGTCTTGGTACTGGATAGTGCTGTAAGTCCTTCCTCTCCTTAGTGACAGTAAAGGAACAAAACAGTGTTACACATGACAAAATGTTTTAGGTCAAAAGAAAACAGTACATATAAATTAATAAATATAAATAAATAAAGATAAATTAATGACTGCCAAGTTTTAAAAACAAACCTCTGCTAACTGATCATTTTGAAAGCAGAACTTTACTGCATCTGTTGACTCTGTTGTTAACTGTCGCTGTGTTCAATCATTTGCTGTATCCACCCTCTCCAGCGGCCTGGTGATCGCCATGGTCGTGAGCTTGATTTTCATCGTCCTGCTGAGATACTTAGCTGGCATCATGGTCTGGGTCATGATTGTCCTGGTTATTCTTGTCATCGGATACGGTAGGTCTTCAGCCTCAGGAAGTGATGAAGTTCAAATCAGCTTAATTAAAAGGAAGATCTTCTAAATATCTGAACTGTTCTTTTAGGGATTTTCCATTGTTACATGGAATTTGCGAGTCTGAAGGGAGAACCGGGTGCTGACGTTACTATCCGTGACCTGGGCGTGCAGACAGACTTCTCTGTGTATCTGCAGATCAGACAGACATGGCTGGCCTTCAGTACGTTCAAACAAACTTGAATTCTTTGATGCATGTCTGTGTTACATTTTATGAATCCTGTAATCAAACACCTTCACCTTTTCACAGTGATCATCTTGGCTATTGTGGAGGTCATCATCATCCTGCTACTCATCTTCCTCAGGAAGAGAATCCTTATTGCCATCGCCCTCATCAAAGAGGCCAGCAGGTCAGTCTCTCTTTTATATCCTTAACTGACATTCTGCAGGATCGATCTGTCTAAGAAGATTGATCTGCTGACATATTTTAAAGCTATAATGATCGGTCCTTTACAACAAAACTGTTCTTGATTTATTATAATAATCATTTATAATTTATACTTTATTAATCCCGCGAGGGGAAATTCAATTTTACACTCTGTCTAATGAACATGAACACACACATAGGCCGAAAATACACACACATGCACAAATAGGATCCTGTGGACATGCATTAATGGAGGGGTCTAGGAGTGAGGGGGCTGCCCACAGCGAGCCCTCCAGAGCAGTTTTTGGGGTTCGGTGCCTTCGGTGCACCTCTGCAGTGCTCAGTAAGTGGACTGGCACCTCTCCGGCTACCAGACCAACTTCAGGACTTGGTCCGTGCCGGGACTTGAAACCAGCAACCCTCCGATTCCCAACCCAAGTCCCTCTTTAAGCTACCTTGTTGTGTTTTGGGTTACACAAGGACAGTTTGTGTTTAATCTCACAGCTTGTTGGCAGCCATTCCAGAAACTGTTTTCAGCTAAAATCTTTGATAATACATTGAAGTGTACTTGTATCACCAAACAGCAGACGGGCACAGTAGTCTGCCTGCTTTTGAACACTATTGAGCATTTTTCAGTGAACAGCCAAACATCCCCCACAGGAATGAATGGAAACCCAAAATAGCAAACATTATGCTGAATATTGGATTTGATGTACTATCTTGCCAAAAGAAGAAACTGATTTTTCTGGTGGTTGTGTAAATATGCAGCGGTTCATTTAGCACATCCATGTATCAACTTTACTACAATTTGATTGTTGTCTCTTTCAGAGCCATTGGGTATGTGATGTCATCACTCTTCTACCCCTTGCTGACTTTTGTCCTCTTGGCTGTGGTGATAGCTTACTGGGCGATCACTGCTGTGTATCCTTTCAAAACACATAAATACAACACTTAATCGTTATTATGTTCTCCAGCCCTTTTTTTTTTAACTCTAAAAATGATACCTCTAATTCATTACTACTTAGTGTTTTTATTATTGAACCTCTTTATAGTGTTAGTTTCAGTAGAAAATAGTTAAAGGCAGTAAGCATGCTAAGGCATTACAATAAAAAATGAAACCCTTAATTTGATGACAACTTGTCAGTTTAAAAGATGCAAGTATCTGAAAAGGTTTACAGTTAACATACTGTATACTACTTCTCAAGGCTGAACTATTTTATAACATGACCTCATCCTTCTCCTTCTAGTGATGTGCCATTCGATGCGGTTACTTGTTTGGGAAATATTTCAATGGACAACGAACTAAAGACCCTGATGACTCTAAACTGTGCTTCAGATATTTCTTCCCTTTGTTAACAAATCACCTTGACAGTTCCAACCAGGTTCTTGTCCACCTCTAACGAGCAGGTGTACAAAGTCTTCAACAATTCTGAGTGTGAGTACTCAAGGGAGATCTGCGACCCCAAGGTATGCTTTTGAATATCACGGACACATTAAACTATCTGACTAAAGATGCTTATTTATCCAGCCAATCAGCAAACATATCTACTTAACTATGTATTATTATTTGGCACCTTCTTGGAAGAAACATTGTGATTATGTCACTTTGAACCTGGACAGTAAAAGGTTCTATCATTGTTTGTTTTATGAAAAACATAATCCTGCTTTCTGCTATTTCCTTCAGACCTTCAACACCTCCAACATGTCGGCTCAGTGTCCTGATGCTGAGTGCCTGTTTGCCTTCTATGGTGGGGAGACCCTCTACCACAAATACCTCATCCTCTTCCAGTTCTACAACATTTTCCTCTTCTTCTGGTGTGCCAACTTTGTGACTGCCCTGGGCCAGGTCACTCTCTCTGGAGCCTTCGCCTCATATTACTGGGCCTTCAAGAAGCCTGAAGACATTCCCGCCTACCCTATCTTCTCCTCACTGGGGCGAGCCCTCCGGTAATAGATTCAAGCTGCATTCATGTGTCCAATCTGTCCACTTATCTGAAATGGTGTAATTTTAAAGCTTGTGGAACTTAAAGTGATCTGTATGTTAGAAACAGTAGCCTAATTCTGCAAAAGGAAAGAGAGTTTTCATACTAACAGTTGGCTTCTGGCTCCTCCTCCGCTCCAGATATCACACAGGCTCCCTGGCTTTTGGCTCTCTGATCCTGTCTCTGGTCCAGGTCATCAGGGTCCTTCTGGAATACCTGGATCAGAAGTTGAAAGGTCAGGAGATTTCTCTTCAGTAAAAGGAGACTGATAAACAAATGTACTTTAGTGTTAACTTCACATTTTTATAATATGGATACTTTGCATCCCTTATATTACTCCCCTCCATGTTCATCATACATACGACTTGTGTAATTTAGGAAACAGTTAGATTATTATATGTTTGTTAATCACTGCATCTGTAAATCCATGAACACTCTTACTCTCACCCTCCAGGTGCTCAGAATAAATGTGCGCAATTCATACTAAAATGCATGAAGTGCTGCTTCTGGTGTCTGGAGAAATGTATTAAATTCCTGAACAGGAATGCATACATCATGGTGAGTTCTTTAAAAGGATGCAATGTCTCAGGCATGTTGAATTCTTCAGGTTTTAAGATTTTAAATGATATTTTCATTTCCCAGATTGCCATCTACGGAAAAAGTTTCTGTCCTTCAGCTCGAGATGCTTTTTTCCTTCTCATGAGGAACATTATTAGGTCTGGTTTCATTATCTGTTTTCACATGATGATAACTGAACAAATAAAGCTAAATGTAAGCTACTAGTCGTTTAGCTTGATAGATTCTCATACTCACTACTGTGTCCATTTTATTGCAGGGTTGCTGTTTTAGATAAAGTGACGGACTTCCTGCTGTTCCTTGGGAAGCTCCTTATTATTGGAATTGTTGGTATGAAAGCTTTTATTTTTAGACCAAAGGTATCTGTTATCTACGAGAGAGAGAGGTCTGTCTGTATCTTTGGTTTAATTATTCCTTTTCTGCAGGGATCTTCTCTTTCTTCTTCTTCTCTGGAAGAATCAGAGCAGTAGAGGAGGCTGCTCCATCTCTAAACTACTACTGGGTGCCGATTCTGGTGAGAGACAGTTGTGAAAACATGTGATCTGATCCAAATTCCACCTGAGAGCTTTGAGACCTCCGCAGAGGCCTTGATAACTTTGTTAATGCTTTCTGATTTTCTGCACACAGACAGTTGTTGTTGGATCGTACCTCATCGCCCATGGCTTCTTCAGCGTGTACGCCATGTGTGTGGACACACTGTTCCTCTGCTTCTGTGAGTACCTTTATATTCATCCAGACTACCTGCAAAGTTCCTCTCTTTTCCTGTTTTAAGCACTTATACAACTTCTCCTTTGAGATGCTTGCTTCTTCCCCCTTACATGTTTCTGATTCTTCTCTTTGTCTCTTTTCTCCCTTTAATTTCACTTTATTTCCACATATTCCCTTTTTCCCCTGGTTTCATTTCCCCCTTATTTCCCATTAACCCAATCAAAAACACAAATTGCACATCCTCACACATGCAAAAGGTGAGGACTTAGAAAGAAACGACGGCTCGTCTGAAAGGCCTTACTTTATGTCCCCCGAGCTGCATGAGATCCTCTCCAAAGCAAAAGGGCTGGAGGAAGATGGAGTTGATCAAGCAGATTCTGCAAAAGAAGCAGATGAGGTAAAAGTGGAAGAGGAGACCCCTCTCCAGCAGGAGCCCGATGGAGAGATCCAGCTGAAACAGCAGTCTGTACTTAAGCAGGACAATGAAGAGGAGCAACCTCTCCAGACCAAGGCGGATGCTGAAGATCTGAAAGAGGAAAATAATGAAGAACAGAAAGTGATTCAGATAGAGGAGGTTGAAAAGAAAGAGGAGGTGGAGGTGAAAAAAGAAGCTGAAAAACAGGAGTTGATACAGGAAGAAAAGACAGAGAAGGCATCATCTCCATCTGTAGAGGCTGAGAAGGAGGTGACTGAAGAAAAGAAAGAGGAAATAAAAGAAGAAAATCCTCCCCCCGTATCACAGGAATAGGAATAGATGTTTGATGTCAGAGCAAAAACAAATCAAGCTTGTTAAACCTCATAAAGCATAACGAATGAAAATTGTACCTACAACTATGTGATATGGACCTGTTAAATGTACAGCATATAAAAAAAGCTGAAAATGTCTCAATGCCTGCTTAAGAGTGGTGTGATGTTGTGCTGGAGAAGGTCTCGGTTGTGTTGTGAAGGATAAAGCAGGTCAAAAGCCCAGTGCATCCCTGTAGCTTGAAAAAACATGCTTTCTTATGTCAGTTTAAGAACAGTGTTGGTTTTATATTGTGAAGATCTGTGGAACGTTGTGAGTGCTGAACCTGTGCCTGATTACTGTCACTAATATTTGTTGTTTGAATCCTGTTAATGAATGCACTACAGAACCACTCAGCACCGTGTTTACAGTCAGAACAAACTCTATCAACGATGGTGAATCTCCTTCACTGTTTACAATAATACCAGCTGACGCCAAAAGGTTACAGACATATTTGATATACTTTATGAATATTGGATTTTTTTTTTTCCTATGGAACTTGTATATATACAGTAGTGTATGTCTTATGTATTTCTTGGCTCAGGGCTAGTAAAGACTCGAGCCAAGATGAAATCCCATGTATTGTATTGCCACCTACTTGCCTTGGTATTTCGGACTGGTGCAAGTCCTGTGTTTGTGTTGCCATGACGCAGGAATCATGACCTCTCTGCAGACTCCACCGCCCCCCGCCCTCCACACTTGTACATTGATCCTACTTGCCTTGTTCTGGCCCTGTCCTCTTTGTCTCTCTCTCTCTCTCTCTCTCTCTCCCTCTCTCCCTCTCTCTCCCTCTCTCTCTCTCTCTCTCTAAGTGCTGCATGGTGTTTACATGGCCTTCTGAATGCTCTGAACTAACATCTTAAATCGCTGGATGCTTTTGTACTTTTTTTCTTGTTTGTCACTTTGTGAAATATGTAAGTTGATTTTCCACTGAAATTACCGATGACATTCCGTATTTATTGGATGTTAATGTCAATTAAAAATGGTTGCATTTAATTGTAGTAGTTCTGTTATGGCTACACACATGTTTTACGGTGTCTTGGCGTTTGGAAGCAGGTGAGTCTGGCAAAGTTAACCAGGCCTTAGATTTTTTTCTTAAAGGGGTACTCCAACAAGGTTTGAATTTGGGACTTCAGTTTTTTGATGTAAAGCTTGGGTTATAAATTAGTGGCCCTGTTGTAGAATAAGCATTTCAATTAGTAAACAATATGAAATGCATTATGGGAAGTGTTGTATGGGGACTAAAATGGGGACTAAAGTAATTAACCAAATCATAGTTTACAAATTACAGATGTATTGTTACCAGATTATTTCAAGACAATACTTAAATTCAGAGAAGAGAGAAACAATAATTATTTAAAAAAGCACTGCTACTACTAATTAAAGTATATATTTTTATACCTCTAATTAAAGTATAACTGGACTCTATCCAAAAGTTTTCTTATGGATGACCTAAAACACCAAGTATGGAAGGAGCAGGAAATGAAAAACTTCTTGGGTGCTTGGTTTGAAGATGTTCTTTAACTGTCTTATTTAATGGAGGTGCTATTTTAAATTGCTGGAGCCCTCCTTTAAATCTTAATCAGCTGGAAAACTTGAAACTGGTAAAAGATGTACTAACCATTAGCACAAGAAAAAAAGACTACTCTGAAGTACTAGCATGCATGTTTCTCAATCACTTTTGTCCATGTCACAGTGGATGATCTGGAGCGCAACGATGGATCAGCAGAGAGGCCGTATTTCATGTCCCAGAACCTGCTCAGCCTCCTGAAGAAGTCCAATGATGAGCCCAAATCTTTAGATTAAGTGTGTGTGTGTGTGTGTGTGTGTGTGTGTGTGTGTGTGTGTGTGTGTGTGTGTGTGTGTGTGTGTGTGTGTGTGTGTGTGTGTGTGTAATAGTATTTCCTTGATATACTGTGTTGTGTAATGGGCTTCACTGATGTTTTAAGATGACTATTGATCTTTTTGTATTTTGCCACAAAGCCTTAAAACCAATGTTTCTATGTAATTGCCAAACACAGGTGATTTAAGAAGGAACAGGGCAACTTGTTTAATAGATAACAACTGTTGGTAATGTTATGTACAGCTTGTTTGAAAATGAATGTTTTTTTCCTCTGTTCATTTACCGGTAGGTATTTTTTCTTATTTGTTTGTGCATTTTGTAATGCTGTTTACATAGAAGCTTTAAAGGGTCCAATATCTTTCAATGAGCTCTTCACTTCAGGGGCAGATGTAGCCTGTTTATATATGAGTAAAGCTTTTATTTATCAATTTATACCAAGACATTGCACTGTTCACCAAAGGTCACCAAAGTTATGTTCATAGACTGTAATAAAGGTTTAGTATTATACTAAAAGCTGTAAGAGATTAAAAAAATGACCTGTGTTTAAAAAAAGAATTGTTACAAAGAAAATGTGTTTTTAGATAACTAGTGTTATTTCCAAAAATGTGTTTAAATGTTAAGTTTTAAATTCCTTTTGTTTTGTTGTAATATAATAAAAGTGTATGTTGCCAGTGTTCAAATTGGAAAATGCATCTGTGTTTATGTGGGTGTCATAACAACCAAAATTTAGCCCATTCAGCAAACAGACATCCAAATATAATCTGGAAATATATGCAACAGCTCTTTTGTCATTCTATTTGGATATCTGATCAGATTTGTTCTTGTCATTATGAATTATAGGTATCTGTAATGATATTTTCAATAGTCATTCATCAGTATTTTTTGTATCTGGAAAGTTTTTGGGTAGCCTATCTAATGTGTTAGGTTTGTGGTTTGGTATTAGTTGCATTGTATTCCAGAAATGGGAATTTGACATGGTAAGAATATTCACAGATTAATTTGTGGATATAATTTAAATTTACTTCACATGAAAGACAAAAGGGGCATCATTTTTAATAGGAGGAATTTGGGTTGGCTATTTGACAGTTCCGAATGACAAGACTAGCATTCTTTTAACAACATTTCTATGAGAAAGATTCATTTGTGGAGTTCACGACATGACAATCTGACACTTGAGAATACATTTAAAATATTAAAAGGTGTATGACCGCAGACCGTGTGTTTTTGTTGTCGTGGGAAGTTGACACGTGGGGTTAATAATAAGCGTCACTTTGAGTGTACACGTTGCTAGGCAACACGAGACGAATAGAGGCCTTCGCTTGTTGCTCCGGCAGTCCGACAACGAGCCACCAGCATCAACATGCCGCTTAGTGGGACGGTGAAATATCCGCTGCATGACCGAATAACAGAGATGCAGCGTAAAATTCAACTGTTGGGTAAGTAGTCTCCGTGGTGATTTCAGGTAATGCTAAACACGTTTGGTTTGCTAAGTGCCGTACTAAGCTGAACATGACTAGTCACTTCAAATCCATTAATAAGTTAAACAGAAGTAGCTACTGGCTTTGTCGCTGAAAGGTTAATAAACAATAAAACGCTTTTCTCCGTGTATTGTTGCTGTAAGTATTTATTTTGTCCACTAGAGGGCGACAGAACTGCTTACTATGAGAGCTCTCAGTCAACCATGGAGAGGAACAGAGAGTCCATCCACCAGCTGAGACAGGACAACCAGCTGCTGTACACGAAACTGGCACAGGCAAATGCTGTAGGTCTCCATGGGATAGAGCCTTTTTCCCAGAGTCAGTGGAATAAATCATCATAAATCATACCTGACCTGCTTTACAATTACAATATTCTTCTCTGTTTTGTGTCTTCCCCCTCAGGGTGATGAAAATGTGATCAAAGTGGCTTTTCAGAACAGAGGCTTGGAGAAGGAGATCTTCCGCAACAAGTCAGGGAAGGTGAGAGCAAGGACTATTAATTCTGTTCATTAAGGTTGCCAGGTGTTTTGCTCATGGTGGATTTATGTTCTCTGTACATAATCTGCTAAATGATTTGTAGAATTGTAAAACAACAAAGATAAAAGTTTTGATCTGCTCTTTTTTGTAGTGTGTCTTGAATGTCTTGAGATAACATTTGTAACAAATGTACCCTTTACAAATTCAAATCCAGACTATTGATTGATTAAGACCATTTCAACTGTATAGGTTGAACTCACTCCTTACACACAGATTTTATTTGTAACAATGTAAAATTAACATTAAAATGACCATCCCTCTGTTTCACTTTTCTTACACATCATCTTCTGGGTCAATACCCTATTCTCAGGCAGCTCTTACAACACTAGACCGCAGTGTGCTGTCCAAGATGAAACGTCTCAATGCCCTAAAACACACCACTCAGACCAAGCAGCGCCGCCTCGAAGAGTTGAATACAGAATACCAAAGGATGAAACCAGAAGACAGCAGTGGAGCACAGCTTGCTGATGCTCAAAGTCGGAAGAAAGTTGAAGATTCCATGGTAAAAACAGGTCATGCCCATCTGAAAACATGGAAGATACTGTTTGCTTTTTCTGACCCTGATGTTGGGTGTGTGTGTGTGTGTGTGTGTGTGTGTGTGTGTGTGTGTGTGTGTGTGTGTGTGTGTGTGTGTGTGTGTGTGTGTGTGTGTGTGTGTGGGGGGGGTGTCTTTAGAACCTGCGGTCACTGAAGAATAGCCTGGAGAAGACCCAGTTTAAGTTCAAGGAGGCGGAGAGCATCATGGCTAGCTATAAAAAAGTCAAAAGTCACCTGCAGGTGAGTTCAACTCAAACCTTTTAAGTCTGAAAAACATTTGTTTTCATTTTTCACTTGCCAGACTTATTGCAGAAATATTTTTTTCACTGCCTCCAGAAATGATTTGTGTCTACAAAAACTTTTGTGCAGAGCTTTTCATTGTAAGTTTTATTGTACAGTTTATGAAGCTTTCTAACTGTTGGCATACAGCATTGCTAGACGTAGGTAATTGTTCATTTGCCATTAGTAGGCTCTCATGAGAGATCTACATCTTCAGTGTTTTGTCCACCATTTGTGACACACTGTGTGCTCGTGATATGTAAATGTCGATTGATGTACTTCCAATGCCCTCACTTAACTTTAATTCTCATTTTAACATTCTTTGTCCTTTTTTGTGCCATATTTATATTTTATCAGGTCAACTTACAAAGCAGATACTCCCAGATACTCCCATTTGTTCAATGATCTTATTTCAGTATGTGCAATGTACCAGTAGGTTATGCCCTCATTTCCTGATCACAAACAAATGATAAATTATATTAAGTCAGGAACATTTCATGCAGTAGTCATAAGGTAACAGTTCTCTGAGGATTTTTCATATTGTTAACTTAAAGTTTGTCTCAGCCATTCTCTACTTCAATATTTCCTGTCCACTCATTCCTCTTGAGGATGAGGCCCTCACTTTCCAGGGCCAGCTGGACAGTCTAGAAGCAGAAATCCTGAAGCACAGGGAGGAACTCAACAACATGCAGTCCATGAACACTGATGCTCAGCTCTCTAAAGAAGCTGCTAAGGTGATCTGCAAACCCTTCTACGATGAGTTCACAACAATGTTTCCCTAAAGCGATGTTCTAGCTACGTAAATGTCAATATTAGAGTCCTATCATACTATCATTTTAATTGCCACACGCCTCCCTTCTTTTCATCTCCCCTTCCCATTCCTCTTCCTGGAAGATGGAGTTACAACAGCAGGAGGAATCGCTCCACAAAGAGCGCAAGGAGAGAGAACGTATTATAGCCAGCTACAGGAAAAAGGCTGAGGAGCACAAGGCCCAAGCTGAAAAATTGGATAGAAGGGTGAGATGTACACACAGTCAAATGCCATATGTGCATATCCAGTAAATGATTGAGTGAAAGAATATAAACCTTTAGGCTCAGAGAGCAACTATACAGCCGGATGAGCTGAGCAGTGAGGCCCAGCGCAGCAGCCCCAGGATGCCAGGTGAGGAGGAGAAAGTCCTCTCCACTTTTGAGGAGGCCTTTAGACGCATTAAGGAGGCCACAGGAGTCACAGATATCCAGGTAAACGTATGAGATTCATTTGTTGTTGAGGAAAGTGTTTATGACATTACTACACATATGTTTGTATTTTTCACGTGCGCAGGAGATAGTGGAGCGCTTTATCTCACAGAAGGAGACTCACCAACGCCTGGAGAAGCTGAAGGAAGATAATGAGAAAGTGCTGCAGCAGCTGCAGGAGCAGAAGGAGCTCCTAAACCAACAGTTTCAGGATATGAAATATTCTGGAGAGGCTAAACTCTCCAGGTGAGACACTTACACAGTAGTGGACTGAAGGCATAGCGTTGCACATGCTATGTAAAGTTTTCTCTGAAGCCTCTACTCCTACGTCTACTCCTCTTTCTCTGTGGTTTTCCCAGTGACCAACAGATGCTGGAGGAGTGCGAGCAGCAGCTGCAGGCTCAGCAGCGTAGGTGTGATGCCTGTGAAGAGCGCCTGGATTGGCTTGTGAAAACCCTCAGTACTGTCAGAGCTGGGGTGGAGCACCTTGCTGACAAACTTCAACAAATCACTCTGGTAATGATGTTAGTCATCATGGATGTAGCACTTCCAAATCTGTGTTGAACTATTGAACACTTCATTTATTTACTGACATTAACGCTTGTGTCTATGCTTTGAACTCCTTTTATTTCTTATATTATTTTTTATCTTTAAGCTTTTGTGTACTCAGTTATCCCCCATGTCTGTCCAGACTGAGGACGCCGTGGCTGAGGTGTCTCCTGACTCAGATGAGTTTGTGGTGGAGCTGATGACTCAGTGTGAGCTGAAGCTGCAGTTACTGCAGGAGGAGCTTCAGGGGAAGGATCAGGCTGCTAGCATGAAGGAGATAGAGGAAGAGGAGGTAAGTCACGGCTACACTACACTCATCCAGCATTACATTGGTTTGAAATCCAAGTGATGGTGCTAATAAGGATATTCTAAATGATTTTGTTTTAACAGAGATATTGATTACAGTATTGTTCTGTGCAATTTTAGTGAAAGACATAAATGGTTTCAAAACAAGTTGAAACTGATGCAGTCATCTAACAAAGGCATATTCAAAACATGAAGATCAATGTTTTTTTTCTTTGCTTTCAAATTAAAATTTAATAAAATAGTGAGGTAGCCGCATATCATCATCTGCAATCTAGCCCCATTAAAAGGGAAATCAAGCACATGAGCAGCAAAACATTACGATAAGTGTCTTAAGATAAGATCAGGTTTCCAACTCAGTCAGCCAATAATACTCTAGCTGCTCACACGTTAGCCTGAACTTGATGAACAGGAAATTGAAGTTTGCAAATAGTTTGTATGTGGGGCACAGATGGCCTAGCGGTGAGGTCGCGCCCCATTTAGTGGGCTATATACCTCCAAGCAGGCGGCCCTGGTTCAGGTCTGGCCTGTGGCCCCTTTCCAGCATGTCACTCCCCACTCTCTCCCGTTTCCTACTCTATTCACTGTCCTATCAAATAGAGCCAAAAATGTGGGGTTTTTTTTAAACTAATACAACAAAACAGTATTTACATCCTCTTGTTTAAGCCTCCACTGCAAAGTAGGACTATAAAGACTGCATGAGTGAGCATGTTTGTTCTTTATCACTTTACCAGGCCAGGAATCAACTTGTCTTTCAGAGAACACATCAGAGTGGACCATAGAAAACACGTAACAGCCATTCACTAATGCCATTCACTAATGGCACGGATGATCAGCTCTAAATTTAGATGGATTAGTCTTTTTTTAACTGATGTAACTCTGACCTGATTTTTACTCCATCAACTCAGCTTTGTTTGCTCAACTTGAACAAATATAAGAAACCATAACAGAAACCACCAAGTCTCTGGAAATGACCATTTAGGATGGTGGGAATTGAACAACAATGACAGCGAGATTGTTATAATAGAAACTATCAAATCAACCTCTAACATTGTTTCCTAAGAATCAGTTACAAAAAAAACTGTAATCTCTCATAAATGTGAATTTCATGAACATTGATCAAATAAATAGCATCAATAGAGAGAAATAAAAGGAGTAATTACAGGAATATAACATTGAAAGAAACTATACTACAAAGGTTTTGCCAAATTCCAGAATAATATTTTATTCTGTAAAAAGAGGCTAATTAATGTTTTTACAGGTTGTTGACTTTTTTTCCAATGTGTGTCTGTTTATTGCTTTGAGTAGTTCTACATCAGGATTGCAGGAAAACTGCCAGCTTATAACACCCGTGTCAAGCTGCCTGAAGACCAAAGTCTGGACCTCTTTGAGGATGGTGAGTTGGGAACCACTCGCGCGCGCGCGCACACACACACACACACACACACACACACACACACACACACACACACACACACACACACACACACACACACACACACACACACACACACACACACACACACACACACACACACAACACACACACACACACACACACACACACACACACACACACACACACACACACACACACACACACACACACACACACACACACACACACACAGATTTGAAGACTATCATGGGCCTTCAGGCTATATCTGTCTCATTCTTCTCCGTTTTTGTCTCAGAGGATGAGAGTGAAGAGGATGAATCCGAAGTCATCTCACAGGAAGCGCTAAAGCGCCAGTCCCAGCTTATCATTGACTCCAACTCCAAGAAGAAGCCCTGGAAGAAGAAGAAGGGCAAGTTCTGATCCAACACCACAGCCTCAAGACCCAAGATAAAAAGAGATGTTTTTTTAACCAAAAAAAGAAATTTGGGGAGGGAAAATAATTTACTTTCAGATTTTCAGTTTGCTATTTTTGCCTTTGAAAGTGTAATAGGAGTTGAATAAAAGTGAATTAATGGGTCACAGAAAATATGTTTTAGACGTGATGAAAGATTAGAACAATCAGAAGATTTATGAATAGATGTGCCTTTAAAACTGGTTTCTTGTTGTATGAGGTTCTTTTTGTTTTGTTTTGACAACAGTCATGTCCTCTGTCTGGTGTCATTGTTGCACCAACACTCACTGCTCCAACTTTTTGTTACAACTCAGAATTTCTGCTTCTCTGAAAAAAAGAATAAAAACATTTAAAATACAATTTTTTCCTCATGTCACATATTCTATTTTTTCTTCTTTTTGAAAATCATAAGTGGTTGTTTGTGGGCAGGTAAATAAATGTAAACATGTACAACTCTACCATTACCTGTGATGAATACTGTCTTAATTAATTAGTGCATGACATTGATGCTTAACATGCACATACTTTGTCACAGTGTTGAATGTGATACAGAGTTGTGTGTGAAAACCTTTCCTGCTTGTAGGAATGCATTCAGCCAACACGTGTTCCATTTCTGCTATGTTAATCATCTCTAAAGCTCTTCAAAAAGGCTGCTACTGGAAGAACAACAACTGTTAATACAGAAATGTTTATATAACCTCAATGTTTGTCTCTTTTTTTCACCCATGTCTCAAGAACCACAACTCCTGGCTGCAACTAAATGATTGAGGTCACAGCTGATGTTTCATGTTCGTTTCTGCTGCATGCTTTTTCCTCATACTTTTCTGTTATCTTAATAATGTTGATTCCACTCTGAAAGCGTGTTCTTTTGACCCACATTCAATTAATAATATGCATTTTAAACAGTATTTGTTTCCCACTCATTTTAGCTCATGACATCCAACATCGTAAGTTATTGCCTTTGTTTGGATGTGTTATGATCATTTCATGAGTGGCTTTACTCAAACAGATTGTCTAACATTGCATTCATATGTAAATTATATAGGAAAATAAAAATATGAGGATTTTTTTGGGAAGCCCATTTCCACTCTTCATTTAGGTATCGCTGAATAAGAACATTATCAGGTTATAATTTAGTTGAAAAGGTAGTAAACCTATAGTCTAACAACCTTTGGTTTGACAATTGCATTAATTCTCGATGGAGTCCTGAAGCCCCCACCGTGAAGATAGACATGAAGACAAATCACCTGAGAATGAAATATTCATTTTTCATAAACAACGAAGGGTTATATGTGGAAGACTTTTTTTTAAAACGTGAAAGACTGAACAAAAAAAAGATAGGCCTACTTAATGTAACTTGGCAAGTATACAAGTATTTAATAATGTACGAATGTAGCCTTCTAAACACTAAAAAACATGTCACACCTTGTTGACAGAGATCTCAAACTGAAGATCGCGGATAGAATGAAAGGTAGTGTAAGATGTTCTCTAGCTGGGTTATATTCAAATTAGACACAGGCTTAGTTATGACCTACATATTCAATTATTGATGGCCTCATCATAACATTAAAACATGCACTAACATATGAAATACAACCCAAAATCATGAATCATGTCGACCAATGTTCGTTAATAAATAAGCCAAATATATCGGCAAATACATCCGAGCCTGTGTATGGTGTATAGTCGCCTGCATAAAAAGCATTTTTTTTCTATTGGTGTTTTTTCAAACCAATCAGAGAGAGGAGGCGGACCTTGGCACTCCGCTGCAGAGTTTGAATGGCTGCCAGCAGCGTGAGTGAGAGTTTCCTCAACATCTCCTGCCACCTGGTCTCCCACACATCATGTTTCAGCTGGCTGTGTGAGTCGTGTGAGTCTTTGTTATAAGTGATTCATTTTTAGAATATTTCCCTCTTTCCCATCCACAGGTAAGAAGCATGTTTTTCTTTAAGAGGATTTCAGCACACTCTTAAATGTGTTTAGCCATTTGTTGTTGAAATGCAATATGAACAACTGTGAAGTGGACCCTATTCAACCAATGCTTGAATATGGGCCACTTTTTATTTCCCTGCCCTTACTTTAAGCATATGTCAATCATTCTAATGTTATTGACAGTGTTTGTATCACTGTAGGAGTAAGGTGCAAATGGGGACAGGGAGAGGTTGTGCCTCAGTGTAATGAGGAGGTCAGTGAGTTGGAATGATTGGATGTGAAATACAATCAAAATGGGACACAATTATGTACCATTGAGGGTCTACAGACAAACAGGGAGGAGGCCACACAAACACACACAGTCACACACACACACTCACGCAGAGAATCATCCCACACAAACACACAGAACAATCAGTCCTCGGTGATAAATGCCAGAGTCTCTCCGCTCCAAGTTTCACAATGTCTTTACTTGAATTTTCTATCTGGACAAATACAGCTCTGAATATGGAGGTCATCAGGATTGAGGAGACGCTGATTCAACAGACGCAAGGTTACAGCTAAGTTACTATATTTAAAGGGTTAGATGGGTTTTGGTTTTTGGATGCTAAGATATACTGAGTTTTCTCAGGGATGCTGTAGAAGAAATGTGTTTTCTCTAGATATGGATTTTAGTGAATTGTTCTATCTGTTGATTATGTGAGAGTACTTTTTATTGAAGAAATATTTGATGGTAATATTGAACATTGAGCAGGTTCATGTTCTCAGTGATTGTTTTCATGATCTGGCCATCTAAGACGATGCTAAAGTCATACATTTGAATTGATAATGATACAGGGCTGCTTGTATTTTTATTTCTGTTTAGCCAAACTGGGGATAACAGTCACTGATATGCACAGTTTGATGCAATTTTGTGGATTTAAGTGAAGATTGCTTCATGAGTTTGGACAGGTTGACTTAAATAAGAAATGTATTTTTTTTTGACTAAATATAAATCATATTATTGAGCTGTGATGCTCATAATGATTTAAGTAAAACTCAAACATTAACCCTGTTTCTGTCCTGCATGATAAATCTAACCATGATTTTTTTTTTTTTTTGCTCAATGCGGCCACTAACGGAATAACCCATGTTTTTATTTTTTTAATGCTATTCAAAAGAGCTGGAAGTTTAAAATTTGACCTGCTGCATCTAACAGTTGACCTGGACTTTTCCTAAATAAGTGGAATAAAAATAAATTCCAAATGAAGTCATACAGCAAACAACCATGTCTGATGTTTTCACACTTTCCTCCATGGCACAGATGAGGCATCAGGTGTGGAGGAGATCTGACGAGGTGTGTGGGCCTGTATCGTGACACAGAGTGGGAGATGAGGACCGTACTTTCCGTGTGTGGAGGTGGTAATGGAGAGGAGTGCCGCAGCCTCCGCAGCAAGGTGGGCAGAATGAAGAAGCTACTTTGGCTGCGGCCCAGTCAGTGCGTGGACGTCCACACAGACACCGAGCCTGGCGTGTGGCTGACGAGCTTCCAGCTTTTGGACACTGACGGACCGTGTGAGGTGAGTTGAAACAAAACTACACAAAGTGTCTTGACTCCTTTTGTAGGTGATCCGCCTGCTGTGTTACAGCGTACTGTAACAGCTTCTCCCGGTGACCTCACGCCTATTGTCATCTTGATGCTTATCTGACATTCATCTGATAATTTTAACAAAGGTCACGAGTCATGGAGTAGTTTCTTATAATGACATGCATGGAAGCGAGGTCAAGAAGTCAAAACATCAAGACATGTGACTCTTCTGTCATCTACCAGGTTATGATATAAATATTTAGTTTAAACGTAACACAAGAGATGCCAAATGCACTCAGAACGAACGGTGGTTCATCCCTTTAATATAGATTTTTATTTTCATTTATTTAGGTTTCCCCCCTTCAGAAAAATTTATATTATGAGATAACCTTTAGCATCAAATATTTGTATGTAAGTTTATTAACATCTCCAAGGCTGCATGAGATAGCATGTTAAATTGTATGAGGTTATAGTGTAGCCAAAAGGCTGACTTTACACGTCTGTCTGTATCAGCATTAGTAATGAATTCATATCACCCACTGAGGGCTGCAAGTGATAATTATTTCACTGTTTGCTAATCTGATATTTCTTTTCAAGACTAACAATTTGCTCTCCCAAGTGTAACATAGCCAAATAAGAAATCTGCAAAAAGGCTTGTGACTCTTCAAGTTCAGTATTTAGCTAGAACAACAAAACAACCCCAAAGAAACCAACTATTACATTACTCCTTATATATATGGAGTTATAAGTTAAGAGACTAATTGCTCAATCACTAACATGGCTTATTTGTGTGTCACACAGCTGGGTGGTGGTGTGTTTTTGTAGAAACACGTGTTGTTTTTTTTAATGAACTTTCAAACTGATATTTATTGTCCTCTGATATTTACGTCATTTAGTGATTTATTTGGGGTAACTGGGCTACTAGAGTTATCATACACATATCTGTTAGAGAGTAGCTGTCATATATTCAGTCATTATTTACATCAGGTTTGTACCTGGGAACTTCCACAATTGCTATCTTAGCTGAACGTTTTTGTATTTTGTAGGTCATCAAGATCAGCAGATGTTTTGTTACACTTCATACGAACGTGCCCAGACTCTCCAGGAAGTTTATAAAATAAAATAAAAACCCTGTATCTGTGTTCTCTATTTCCTGCTGATAAAAAAGACTTTTGAATTGTGTTTTTGAAGGAACAACTTGAGCCAGGGCGTTATAGAGTCATCCATGCTTGTTGGTTGTCTGCCACCTCATCAACCATTCATGTGTCTAATGAGCACTAATTGAGGGCCGTCCTTTTGTTTAGCCTCTGTACAAAGACAGAGTGGCTGGGATGGATGAGTGTAGATCTTTGGTAACGAGCGAGAAAGAAACTCATTAGAGAAACAACAAGCTCATTATTTTCTTTGAGCTAAAAGAGCAGCGGACAGCCTGACAAAAAATGTCCTCTGTGCTCTCAGCATGTCGGTGTTGCCACAATGTGTTTCTGTTCGTCAGCGTTTTTCTGAATGTACTTCTGTGCAATGTTTTCACCAGTACTGAAGGACCTTAATTTGCATATTTCCTTTATTTTATTCTCCCATGAACTCACACGCTGAAGTCAATAATAGGAGCTTCATGTGGTATGTCTACCACACCCCTGACACCATAGGCAAGATCATCAGCTGGAGACAGACGAGAAAAACTAGATTCCAGACAGGATTCTTCAGTGACAGAGGCTCTGAAATGCACTGTTCACAGCATTTTGATTGTCACACTTCTGGTAGACAGATCATTTCCTTTTGCATCTTACATTTAAGGTGTTCCTGTAAAACAAAAAAAAACAAAAAAGGTGTGGTTTCTTTTGTAGAAAATAGGTATTTC